ATTGAAAGGCATAAACAAGATATTAATGAAGCAAAACTTAAGCATTATAAAAATACAAAGAGACAAAACAAGAGCATAATCTTGATATAGAAATCAAGATACCTAAATGCATGGTAAATGCCTCCTTTTATAGGCTGAAATTTGAAAGTATTGATTTGATAACTAATTGTTGAATAGGTGGCTATATCTTGACTTGGTGACAATCATTATCTTCTTGTCTAAACAAAACATCATTGATAACATTAGAATTTGAACCAACCTTCCACATGACAGTTCTAGAACATTGTCTCAGCTTTCCAGAAAAAAAAAATTAAAGTCATTTGGACTTCTAGAACTCAAGGTATGGGCAAAACACTGAACAGTGTCTAGGCTGCAGGACAAATTCGGGCTTTTATGTTGTTACTAAGATTTAAACTTCCAAATAGTAGAATTGAGTCTTTCCTTCCTATGAAAGTTTTAGGCCTATATCTTAGCTTTCCATCCATATAAAGTAAACCTAAATCCATATTCTACAGCTCCAGTTATGATCCAATTACCAAATAGTGTTCTAGTTTGGACTAAATCAACATCTCTTTTCTAGGCTTCACTCTCTATTTGTCCTTTTAATTTTAGTACTTCAACTCATCAATCAATCCTTTTATTTATGTGATAGGCTTGCATTTAGGATGAACATTTACTATACATAAAGGTATCTTATGGTATCAGACTTGTTATTATAAAACATGTTTTTGTTAAGAAGTTATTGATACTTCAAGTGCAAAATGATGGTATAAAACATTGATAAAAATAAATTTTTAAGTACTAATTAGTTGTCCTTCTTTCATTCAAGATGATGATTCAAAATGACCTCCGAGGAGTTTTATCAAAATGGTTGATTAACTAAATATGATACATAGTGCAGAAGGAGAAGGAAAATGGGAAAGGGAAGGGGAATAGCTAGTCCACTATTCTTTAACATGACTAGTGAAGTTTTCATTGTTCATATTACATAACAATGGAGACATGATGCAAAAGAAATAAAAGGAGAAGGAGAAGAAAAATGAGAAGGGAAGGGGAAGAGCTGGTTAAATCCTTCCTCTGTCTCTATAAGGCACGCCATTGTTTACTAAGTTGTAACATAGCTGCAACAAAAGCAGTCCCAAGCTGCTTCAATCAACCTTGCATTACAAATGCATTAAAATGCAAGGTTCATGAATAGTAAATCCCTTTTTTTTCTTTAACAAACATGCAGGAGTTGTGTTTTGCTTGAAACGCTGCTACAACCATATAAACAAAAGGCCCCTTAATAACAACGAAGAAGTTTGAATCTATCCTGCAACCTAAAAACTATTCAATGTTCAGCCCATATCTTGAGTTTTAGAAGTCCAAATGACCTCAATTTTTTTGGTTGGAAAGTTGGGACAATTTTCTATAACTTTCATGCTTCAAGTTTGTTCGAATTCGAACGTTAACAATAACATTTTTGTTCAGACGAGAAGATAAAGATTGTCACCAAATCAAGAGTTGGTCACCCACTCAACAATTAATCATCAAATCAATAGTTCTAAATTTTGGCCTATAAAATGAGGCATTTGTCATTTATTTAGGCATCTTGATTTTCAAATCAAAGTCATGTTCTTGCTCTTTTTCTTTATATTTTTATAGTGCTTAAGTTTTGCTTTCATTAATCTCTTGTTTATGCTTTTCATTTCCTTTCCTTTACTTAGTTAACTTATATCTTATTTATGTTCTTATCTTGTATATTTATGTTTCTCTTTTTTATTATATTTAGTTAAGTTTATTATGTCAAGGTTACACTAATGGTGTAAGAATATGTATAATATAAACTCAACATGGACTTTAATGTCTAATACTAACATGTTTTGTATTTGTTATCTTGTTCACTTTTAATACTTTGCTTGTTAAATGGTTAATTTAAAATTATGTTGTATAACACTTGATATAACAAATACTTGGCACTTTCATAGCCTAACTTAATGGTATAACGTACACATGTGCTATGAAAGGAACTTGATTTATTGTTAACATAAGTTATAATAAAAAATACCTGACAACATTTATAAGTATTAGCATTATTCAAACAAGATAACTAATATAATCATGTTAACAATTTATAATCCGATTGGAACCTCATTTATGTATGGTTTCCACTTGAGCAATGAAAAATAGTTTATACTATACTTGTTTGAAATAACAGTAGTAGATCCTCTAATCTTGATATTTATTTTTATCGTTATTTAATCCTCACATTAATCTTACAATTTTAAAGTTCTTTTTAACTTCTTCTTCTTCTTCTAATTGTTATTGTTGTTAGTTAGTTAGTTATATTATATATAGTTAACCTCCTTGTGGTACGACTACGGTTTAGCTGGGTTATATATTACTTTGACACTCCTGCACTTGAAGGAAGATATCAATCGTTTGGTCATGTCACCTTCTGCTTTTGATTCTTTTAATTGCACCCCTGATTAGCCTATAACTTTTAATTTTATATAATTTTACCCTCGTGAAACTTCAACATTAGTCTCAAATTTTAGCATATTTTTCATTGTGATCTTTGTTCTTGGATTTATGCAAATTAACCCTCAATCGACCATTAAACTTTTAATTTTCTTCAATTTACCATTGATTTCAATCGAGTCCCTAGAGTTCGACGTCTTTTTTTAAAAGTCATTGGCTACTAATTTCTTCAATTTAGCCTTTAGTTGACTCAAAACTTTGATTTTCTTACAATTTTATCCTTAATTTCAATCAATTAGCTTGATAAAAATTAATTTTGGTCCCCTGAATTTTTAATCTTCTTAATTAAGCTCAAATTAGACTCCTAAACTTAATTTTTTAACAATCAAATCCCTAATAAAATTAATTTATTTAAAATATAATTAAATCCTTAAATTTAATTAAATCATGTAATTTAACCCAAATTAATTTTTAAACATAATTAAATTTTTAATTTGACTCATGATTAAATCAAATTGGTTTATTAAAAATCTAATTATGTCTATAAACTTAATTTTTATATAAATTTATCTAATAATATTTTAATTTAATTTTAAATCTGCGCATCTGTACTTTTGGGTACAATGGACCATAATTAAACTTTAAATTTATTCAAAATTATAGCTTTATCTTTTTTTATATTTAAAATCCTTCTCAACCTGTTTTTGTTAAATTATTAATATTTTTGTTATTTTATTTATTATTTATTATTTATTTTAAAAAATAAATTTTAAAAATAATTCAAAAATAGATAACAATATTAATCATAGACTTCTAGCTTCCAAATTAACTAAGATTGTTGAAATATTAGTGAAACTAACCATGGATTGTTGAAATCAAGGCTGGAAACATAGGAACAATGATGATGCGTGGTCTCCACGTAGTGACACGATAGGCAAAACCACAAGAATGGGTGGATCTGGAGAGGTTTCCTATCTTCTTACTCACTGTATCGAGGGTGACTCTCACTATGACCTGTAAAAACATAAATATACACAACACAATCAGCTTTATTTTCTTCTTCCTCTCGGTTCGTTGTTAGTTAGAGGGGAGTTGAGGTCATAAGCTTAATAAGTTTTGTGTATGTGCTGGAAAAGAGGAAGAGGACTATCATAGCTCTATCATGGATAGATGGTTTGGATAGTTGATGACAGATGTGTGGCGTAGCTCACGATAATTATGGGCTATGAGGAGAGAAATGGGTTTGATGAAGGAGCTTGAAGGTTATAGGCTGTCGATGAGTGCTGGTGTTGTCATTGTCATCATTAGCAATGAAGGGGGGGAGGATGAAGGCCATAATGGTCTTTTTCTTTTCTGAAAACAAAATCTCAACTTGGTTTTGCTAATAGTGGTTGGATCTCATGGCGGTTGGTGAGTGGAAAAGGGGTTATATTGGTTGAGAGAAGGAAGCTATAGGTTAAAAGGGTTAATGCTTTAATAGTTAATTGATGGTTTTGGAAGCGGGGTTAGCCAGTGATGGTGCCACTTATAGTGATGGATGATGGCTACTGATTTCAGCAGTAAAAAATAGAGCTTCTAGGAAATGGTTTTTCTACTTTAGAAGAGTGTGATGAATCGTGGCTTAAGTCACTGGTGGAGAAAGATAAGAAGCTAATAGATAAAGGAGATTGATTTTCTAATTTCTATGAGAGGTCATGTGTTGATAGAAGAGGCTCTATCTTTTATATTTATTTTTATAAATGGAAACGTCTAAAGACTGTGAGCGTAGAGTCACTTTTTTTTAGGGTTTTTTCTTTGGGTGAAAATCTTATTATTTTATTTTTTACAGGAAAGAGTGTCTTTTTCTAACTAATTTCTCTCACAATTCTCACAAACTTGTCCTTTCCCTTCAAACTAATTTCTCTCACAATTCTCACAAACTTGTCCTTTCCCTTCAAATTGCTTGGTACCCAAGCAACTAAAAAAATCTTTGGTCCCTTATTTTTTTTTTTCTGTTTTAGACTTCCAGTCCCTTTATCCAAATATTTTTGTTTTTATATTTTTTTTATCTTGGTATTTTTTAAAAAAAAAACATTAATATCTTCTTAATAAAATTAATTAATAATTTAACATTTTAAAAATCAAATATGTTAAAAATTCCCAAAAGACGTAGTGTGGTAATAAAAAAATTTAAGACAAAAATTTAAGATTTGCATAGTAGATCTCGAGTTCGAGTCAAAACGTGCATTTCTTGTAAAAACCTGAAACAATTCAGATTTTACTAACTCACCTGTACCCATAGAAAACTTTTCAAAAAGTAAAGTTTTATCAAGTCCATAAAAAAAGACTTAGCACTTTAAAAATCAGGTAATATATTCATTTTGGCTAACAGTTAACTAACACTGCCAATGATCTTTCATCTCACATGCCTTGCACACAACTTTTGAAACTAACCACCCAAACGGTCACTTTTTATTGCATTAATTTCCAATGAGTAAACATTTAATAAAAAAAAAATGCCCAGACATTGTTGAAAATGAATCAGTGAAGAAGGCAACAAATGATTTCAAGAGTTTTCTTTCCCGATATACACCGAGTTGTAGCTGTTACCGTAAATCAGTTTGATACAAGGAATCATACAGTAAAATTCCATGGAATTCTCCCTCCTCTTTTCTAACATTAATTTTGACATATGTGCTTCGATCTCATCATCAATCTAGCACAAGATATAAAGATAATGAGTGATTCAATCATGGAAAATACAGATGTTAAGAAAGGGTAAAAACAAGAAAATTGGGTTGCCTAGTCACAAGGATGAGTCGTCATCTATACCATAATACTACTGTGTTAAAGAAATCCCAGCTCTATAATTGATATATGCCCCACACAATTCATTATGCCAATATCAGTCTATAAGAGAGACTGAGTATACCTCCGCATTTCTTTCATCCTGCTAGAGGCAATACATATTACCTGGATCAGAGTCTCCGCTCTTCCCAAGAAAGTAACCCCATGGTATCACAAATATATCTTTGCTTTACATATACGTTACTTGCACTGTCTTGGTTGGAAATTTTCATTTGATAGCAGAGAGCTGATCAATGACTGCAACCTTTTAGCTCCAGGGCCAGGTCTCAGGACAGTTGTGTTACCAATAACAGAGCATGGATCAGTTCCATTCTCCCTACTGCCTATGCACCAACCACCAGGAGTAAACATGCCTGGACCACGAGACAAGAGCTCAGAATCAATCTTGTCAAGCACAGGATCGTCTTGGGGGAACTTTCTAGCAAATGGAGCATTGCTGTCAATCATCCTTTGCATGTCAGCAAGGTTGAGGTGATGTGGATGCTGCTTCGGTGGGTTGTCCCAAGATATGAAATGCAGATCGCTATTCACAGTGGTATTGAGAAATTGTGGAGAATTGCAAATGACAGTGTGGAAGTAACCTTCTGGGGAAGATATAAAGTTGGCATAGTACATGAGTACAGTTCGAGGTATATTATCCCATCCCCATATGGTGTAATCAATAAAAGGTCGGGATAGTGCCATCCAGGCAGAACCTAAAGCAGAAAGCAGAAACTCAATTATAACGGGACCAATCTAAGCAATTACTATCATGCTGACATTAAATTCAATGAAGGGAATCATGTGCAAACTTAAACCATCACATGAGCAATTCAGTTGTGATATAGAAGACAGACGCTAGATGAAAAATACTTGCACACTCTAGCGCCCGAAGCAATCAAACAACGGTTTGCTGTGCATCAAATATTGAATGTAGTGTGTTACATAACTCAGGGTCAACAATAGACAGGTTCTGTTTAGTATTAGGGCATGGTCCAACATCGTAGAACTAAACTGGTGTCGTCATCATAGTGCACAACCCTGTGGTCTATATTTCCACATATTATTATCCCCTTCTTCTGACAAAGGGAAAAAAGATCTCAGCAGTAATCCTGTAGGCTATCAGAATAGTATACAAGATGAAGAAGAGAGTTGTTCTATTACCATGATAATAATTAAATAAATAAATAAAATACTGCACTTAAAACTGTAATTTGTGCTCTCACTCATGTAAAACAAACATTTAAAAGACAACTACATATTGTTTTGCAACTACATGACCTTGGCTCGCAACAAGTGCTTCCATTTGCTAAGGTGCTTCAGATGCCAGTATCATTATTTCTTTGTGCCATGAAATACCAGTTGAAATTAGTAATATCGAAACATTCCAGGTCTTCCTAGCTTGCCTTCTATAATATAGATAGCCGAAGATGGCCTAACCTAAAGAAATAGCATCAATAAGTAGTCAATCTTTCTAAATGCCTATGCTTACCCTTCTCTTCCCTTACTCTATCAATAAATAGCATCTTTATATCCACATCCCTGTTTCCCTCCGTGCTTAAAAATAGAAAGATCCCTAGAAGCCTATGCCTGTAAAACCAGAAGCTGCTCCAGCTTTAAAATGTGGAATAGGCACAGCTGGTCAAGCAAAAGCTCCTCCAGCTACTAACTAAATTGTCTTGAGCAACAGAAGCTGACTCTAGGTCAGAACTCTATACCACTTAGATAAAATATGAACACTTTTTGGAAAACATTTCAATCGACATACTTTGGGTCCAAGGAAATCCCAAAGAAAAAAAACACAAATTACTGATCAGGCAGCCTGTGTTCCATCTCAAGTTCCAACCAGCAAACTGATTTCAAATGCAGCTAAATTTTAACAGAATCCAAAGAATAATTTCAGGATAACATAAATCCAAAAACCAGGGATTTTGCTGGAGGGTTCAATAATTCCAGGATCCTGATTTAGATATCTTTAACCTGACTACACAAAAATTAAGCCAACAGGTATTAGAACACTTCACAAGTATCCGTAACTACAACATCAAGAAGGCTGAACAGTCCAGTAATACAACTATCAATACCACATAAACCAAGGCTACAAAATTATATCAGAATCTATAAATGAAAGAGCTAGGAAGAAGAGGCACAACTGCTCTCAGAGTTCATGACATGTATATACCCTGTGCCTGTGGGCTTCTTGTTATTGAACAAGGAGTGTATTGAAGGATTTCTAGTTATGTCAATTTTGATATAAAGCTGATCGCAAGCAGGTCATCTTTTTACAGTTATTGATCCATTAGCAAGGAATGGCATGTCAAATCCTAGCATTTAGAACATCTTCGTTCTTAGGAGTGTTCTAATCATACAAGACAGTGTTTCTAACTAAATCGTTCCAAATACAGGTGGAAAAAGCAGTAAAGGAAAAGGGAAATATTGAATCATGTGCTGAAGACAAAGATCAACCATGGAACTTGCACTTGACACATCTAAAGAATCCAAGAGAGGAAGTTTAACAAAGCAGGTAGAAAGTGACATACTTTAAATTCAAGATTAAGAAATTATGTACCTGTAAATAATTTAAATGCTGTTGGGACACTCCTCCTCTGTGTAATCCAAAAAACATCAGCTTTCTTTGTCATATACAACCCGGGATCTATAATTATTGGTTTCGCCCTTTGAAACCTATAAAGAATCATCAAAAACCAATTAATAATCCCCATGACTGAAAAATCACAAAAACAACAAGAATGAAGCTATACTAACTCTTTCCATCCAATGTCACTTGTATGATCAATAAAATTAAGATCCCGTGGCAGATATGAAAATGTATGCAACAGATCTACCAAGAAAAACAAAAACCAACATCAAAATCATCCAAACTTGAAAAAGAAAAAAATCCCACCTAAAAAAAGAAAATTAGAGCCTCTAAGCTTACCATCCTGTGTAACAAGTGGATAATCAGATGCACTAAGATTAATAAACCAATCCCAAGCTCCACCTTCTCTCAACAAGATAGCAGCAGCATGTAATGTATTAGCAACCATAGTGGGTCCTCTATAAGTAACAAGATTAGCTTTACTGATCATTCTTACATTGCCGAACCTGAGAAAAACAGGATGGTGTTTAACAAAATTGCTTAGATCTAATCTCTCCTGAGTCGAGGATTCCCTGTCCAAATGAACAACATATTGGTTGTTGGGATGGTAAAGAGCTTGTAAAGTCCTCTTCAACATGTTGGCATCACCAGCGGAACCAGAGATTACATAGGCAAATCGAGGGGGTGGAGGAAGATTCGAAATGGGTAGTGGGTGGATTTTTGTTTCAACAAATTTAGAGCTGAGAGAAGAGAAAGAACGGTAGAAAGGGAAAACAGAGATGCCGTCAGAGGTAGTAACTGTTGTAAGGAAGAGAAGGAAGAGAGAAACTAGAGAGCCAATCGCTAATGGAAAGATCCATTTTCTTTCCATGTTTTGGTGGTGGCGTAAGTGCATGTAGTAACTCTTCAATCTCTTCATTATCCTTTTGCTTTTGAGTTTTATCAGAGAAGCTCAGAGAGGAGTTATTAAGGTCCCGGCAAGGAGTGGAGTTTCGGAGGGTTTATTTTTAGGTAAAGGGGAAGTGGAGAGTAGAAGGGACAGAAGGGGTGCCTCTGATCCTCGCCGTGACACGAGGAAAAATAATATTCGTTGCAGAAAAAAGGGTCATGAGGATGACTTGGTGGATTATTAGAGATGACCTCAATTTAGTCACAAACTTATTTGCTCATTCTCAATTACTTCTCAAATCTAAAACATTTATCAATTAGGTCCCAAACTTATTTGTGTTCTTTTATCAATTTGCACACTGCTAAACACATTCTAAGTTTAATTCACAGATTTTATATCCTAAAACCATGTCGATTTGATAAAAAAAGTTAATCAATATTAACATTTCCGAGCTATCATACTTGTTTATCCACTAAAATAGCATCAATTTATTAAAAAAAATGAAAAACATATTGATTACTGGTAACAAAAACACTTGATTGAGGATGTATTTTTTATAAAATGTCCGGGATCTAACAGAAACTTTATAGATTTAGGACTTAATTGAAAACAAATATGTAAATCTATGGCTAAATCGAGGTTCTTCCTAATTATTACTAGTGTTATTGCGCGGACGGGTGGACAATGGATTGTAGTAGCATTCATTCAGGTATTAAATAGGTGGACAACAATACAAAAAAGGTCACACTTGTTACAAAAATAACAATTCAGGAAACAAACCAAATAAAATATTATTAATATTATTCAGAAAACAAACCAAATAAAATATTATTAATATCTCATGCTTATATTTAATTAATTAGTTTAATTTAATTATAAAACAAAATTTTTTTTAAAAAATAAATTAAATAAAAAATGACAAATAAAAAGATCTAATATAACTAGGATTACATTTAAAATCAGTAAAATATCCTATATAAAGCAAATAAAAAAAATAACGGCAACCAATCTCTTATTAAATAAATTTTAAAAATAAAAATAAAAAGAAATGAGTTTTATAAAAGAAAAAAGAAGAAGAAGAAGCAAACCTAGGCAAATATTTTAAACTTGGTTTAATATCTCAAACTCGCAACTTATTAAATCTTAGACCTTAACTCAATAAAAAATCTCAATTCTCAATCAATTTAATGTTTAAAAATGAAATAAAAAAATCAATTAAAAAATTTTTCTAAAATAAAAAAATAAAAAAAAATGAAGATCAAATATGATAAAAAAAAATTAAAAAATGATGAAATCATAAAAAAATTAAAAATCATCTCAAATAAAAAAATATCGATAAAAAAAAATGGATCAAATCTAACATATGAAAATTTTAGAAGATGAAATTAAAAAAAATTATAATTTTATAAATTATTTTGAATAAAACTAATAGTAATCAAAAGAATATAAATCAAATTTAAAAGAAAAAAAATTGAAAGGATGCTTTGAAAACAAGTATAGTATATATAAATATCAAGGATGAGAGAGAAAAGAAGAGGAAAAATATAAAAGTCAGTTAGTAATGAACTGAAGGTCTATTGACTACATGTGCTGCCTAAACACAGAGGGTCCTTTGAGGCCATTCCAATGCCATCTTAGAAGATGGTGTTTGGCTAACTGAAAATGTTGTACATTTGCTTAAAAAGCACGACCACCACCTATATGTCAGCCGTTTTTTTAAAATAATATTTATATTTATTAAATTATCAAATTACTCCTAAATAGAATAGATAATAATAAAAAAAATAAAAATAAAAAGATGAAAACATCCTTCGATACAAGTTAAAGAAATTTTGATTTCAATGGTAATTTAATAATTTAACTATGTTTAAAAAAAAAACAATAAAAATACAAAAAAGCCCATGAATTTTTTTTTAATGTTTTTAAAGGTAAATTAGTCATTTCAATATACTACTAGAATGTTAAAAGATTAATTTATCTCCATTCAATATGATAATGATAAATGAATTTTATGGAAAAAAAAATCTCTATTATCTCTAATAGCAAGTTAAATGATTTTGTTTGGAAAAAAAACAAAATAATTATTATAATATTCCAATCCACAATAAATAGGATAAAAGTCATAAAATTAATATTGAAACATGTAAATGGTTTAGAGAAATAAGATTAAAATAGATATAATGTAAGATAAGTTGCTTTGTTCTTATAATTTAGTAGGAATTTGTTTTAAGTGAAATATTTGATGAGAAAATTGGTCAAATGTAAAATATTACATGATTAACTTCTAAAATGAGTTTATTAATTTAAATTTTTTTTGTAAAATTTTGTAAAACATTATGAAAAATAATTAATTTATAATATCATCCAATGATTTCAATCACTAATACCATCTTCATTATCACCAATACTTTACCAGAATTCTATTACTATTATATCACCACGAATTTCACTATTACCACTACTCCATCATCATTATTATCTTCTTTATTATCGACACTATTATAATAATTATAGTTTCATCATCACAAACATATCATCATTGTTTTAGAACCAATATATCTTAACATTATAATGTACTTAAAATCATAAAATTTATTATGTTTATATTTACAAAAAAAAACCATTTTATTTTTAAATATCATCTATTTATAAAATATTTTATGTATAACCAATGCAATCTTAATTTTAATAAATTATGTACAATTTTTAGGTATTTAAAAAAAATTATTTGATTCTTCTTTGTAATATTAATAACATTTCAAGAACACACATTTATCTTATGTCATTTTAAAAGATATTGTTATTAATATGATTTATGTATTAGCTCAAATAATAAATATAAGTTTGTTTTTGTTGATATTTCAGAGTCAATTTAAAAAAAAATAATGTGAAAAAGAATTTTTTTCATGAATGGTTTCAATATCATTGTAAAAAAGAAGTACCATTATTTCTTTATCAGAAAAAAAATGAGATCTTTGTCTCTAAGATGGAACAAATTCCAATTGTATCTCCATACTTAGCAAATGAATGAAATTCATTCATAAAACCTAGATATACAAGACAACAAATCTTTAACAAGTATTAAATATTATTTAGCAAGTACATGATAAAACCTAGACATACAAAATAGCAAATATTACTTAACAAGCACATGAATTTTATATTAGGGGGGAAAGTTTATGGAAAATCTTGATCATATTTTAACTTGAATCTAAAAGAGAAAATTGACAATTGACACGACTAAAAGATTAATGTCTTCATCCAAGTGCAGGAGTGTCGAAGTAATAAATAACCCGACAAGACCGGGATCAAACCACAGGGAGGTTAATTGTATAAATTACAAATAACAACAATAACAACAATGACAATGACACGACTAAAAGATTGATGTCTTCTCCCAAGTGTAGGAGTGTCAAAGTAATAAATAACCCGGTAAGACCAGGGTCGAACCACAGAGAGGTTAATTGTACAAATTATAAATAACAATAATACAACAACAATAATAATAACAACAACAACAATAATAATAGTAACAACAACAACAACAACAATAATAATAAAGAAAAAGAAGAAGAAGAAGAAGATGAGAACTTTGAGATGAAATATTGACGTAAAGATTTAACAATGATAACAATAAATGTCAAGGTTAGAGGATCCACTAATGGTATGTCAAACAAGTATAATATAAACTCTTATTAGTCAATTGGAAACCACACACAAAGGAGGTTCCAATCAGATTATAGATTGTTAACATGATTACATTAGTCATCTTATTCAATTAATGCTAATATTTGTAAATCTCGTCAAACATTCATGATTATAACTTATGTTAACAACAAATCAAGTTCCTTTCATAGCTCAGGTGTCGGTTATACCATACATTATGGGCTATGAAAGTGCCAAGCATTTGTTGTACCAAGTGTTATACAACATAAATCAAGATTAGTCATTTAACAAGCAAAGTATTAAAGAGTGAACAAGATAACAAATACAAAACATGTTAGTATCAAACATTAAAGTCCATATTAAGTTTACATTATACTTATTCTCACACCATTAGTGTAACCTTTTCACCTTGACATAACTAACTTAGCTAGACATAATGAAAGAAAGCAAAATAGATAAACAAAATAAGAACATAAAAGTTAACTAAGTAAAGGAAAGGAAATGAAAGGCATAAAATAAATAAAATAAGAACATAAATAAGATAAAAGTTAACTAAGTAAAGGAAAGGAAATGAAAGACATAAACTTGATATTAATGAAAGCAAAGCAAAAGCAATACAAAAAAATACAAAGAGAGAAAGCAAAAGCATGATCTTGATTTGGAGACCAAGATGCCTAAATGCATGGCAAATGCCTCCTTTTATAGGCCAAAATTGGGAACTATTGATTTGATGACTAATTGATGAGTGGGTGGCCAACTCTTGACTTGGTGACAATCCTTATCTTCTCTTGTCTGCCTAACACGTCATTAATAACATCAAAATTGGAGCCACTTGAAAACATGAAAGTTCTAGGCAATTATCTAAGCTTTCTTATATAAACAATTCAGCTCATTTAGACTTCTAGAACTCCAGATATGGCCAAAATACTAAACAGTGCTTGGGCTGGAGGACAGATTCGGGCTTCTTTGTTGTTGCAACAATTTGGACTTGAAAATGACCTTTTTAGATCTTGGGCTCCATTTAAAAGTTGTAGGTATATGTCTTACCTTTCTATCCATATAAAATAGACCTAAATCAGAGATCTATAGCTCCAGATATGATCCAATTACCAAATAGTGTTCCGGTTTGGATTGCACCGACATCTCTTTTCTAAGTTTGACCATCTCTTTATCCTTTCAATTTCAGTTCTTAAATTCATCAATCAATCCTTTCATTTATCTCTTCTCTAAGTTTGACCATCTCTTTATCCATGCAATTTAAGTTCTTCAAGTCATCAATCAATCCTTTCATTTATGTGATAGGCCTGCATTAAAAATAGACATTTACCATAAATTATAGGTATCTTATATTATTAGATACATTATTATAAAACATATTTTAGTTAAGGAGTTATTGATACTTCAAGTGCAAAATGATGATATAAAACCATGATAAAAATGCACTTTTAAGTACTAATCACACCCCCCAACCAGCTTATTACTAGTCCCTAGTAATCAAAGCGTTAAAATAGAAAAACAATTTGCAAATTCCACAAAGCAAGGTATTCATC